CCTCCCAGGTCTGCAGGAGTCAGGCTATCTTGCTTTATCATTCTAAGGAAGGCCTTTGCAAGTCAAAAGTTAGGTTTCTCCATTCTAGAGAAGGGCTGAGAATTTAACGCTCCTGCTTGCACAAGAGAGAGGAAGAGGACACCTTTCACTGCATATGAATGGTAGTCATTCTGCAAAGCTGTCATGACAGTTAGGAATGTCACCCGAGATTCCCGGGGCTCCCAGAGCCTGAGTGATGTCAAGAAAGAGTATAGATTTGGGTGATAGGGGCCCGGAATTAAAATCTACCTCCTTGTGTTTAATTTTAGGTTGGGTGCTTAACTTATCTGAGCCACAGTTTCCTCAGTAATAAGAGGGGAATAATTGTAATGCTTTAATTGGCTTGTTCCCAGGATTGAAGCATATAATATATCTTAACATTTGACCCTTAGTAGGTGCTTCATTACTTCCCTTTCACCCTTGCTGTTACAACCGCCCACTGGCAAACCCTGAGGAGATTGGCAAGGGCCCATAGGAGCTATAGGAACAGACCTCACAGTTTTCTTGGGAGTCCCTAATTCTACGCATGACAAAGGTCAGATGGGAAGGAGGAGGAGGAAGAGCAGGAGGAGGTGAGGGAGGAAAAGGAGATGGGAGGAGAGGAGAAGAAGCTTTGGAGGGGTCTGGCAAGCAGAAGCGTATTTTCCTTTTAAAATAGACTGAGAAAACACAGGCTTCTATTCTCCAGGCCATGTGAAGTGGTGCCTGCATTTGAAACACACGGATAGGCTTATGGACAGGTTTCTCTCATTGAGTTGATTCTTTTTTTCAACAGGTTTTCAGGATCCACCATAGATTGTGGGCCAATACGCCAGTCTTGGGCCCTGAACCTATTGAATATAGGAGTTTTACTGTTCTGTCACCTTAATGATAGCCAGTTTGTTAAGGATGAGCCAAAAGGGAAGGAGGGTAGGGTTGTAACTAGTGAATCTGAATAACACTGCAATGCGTTGGAATGAATCCCTGACAGGAAGGTGATGGATGTAGAGAAATCCGAATTCCTTTAGCTTCTGGCTGAGGGTATATGTAGGAAGATTGGTTGATGTGATTGATTGCCATGAGGGTAAGATGAATGAGGATGGAAGAGAGTTGGAAGGAGTGGGACTACGAGCTTTTTGGGGAAGTAAAAATTCTTTCCATGGAATTCCCAATTGCTCTGGGTTTCATTCTTTGAAAACCTCAGATATAAACCCACAGAAGACATAAGTCATTCTCTTCTTGAATCATCACGTTTGGACAGGACAGTCGGGATAGTTTTGTTTCTGAAAATCCCACCCTAGGATTATTTGGGAATGTCGGCAAGGTCTGGGGGCTGTTGCAGTGGGAACGTCAAAGGGTCAAGTACCTGGGTCCTTTGGTTGGAGATTCGGTTAGGAATGAAGGGAGAAAATCTACTTTGTTCATTTCCCTAGCACAGTGTCACAACTTCAGGTTTCTTGATGGGCGCTTTGGCATCTTTGTGAACTGGAGGATTGACCTCAAGTCCACAGAATTACAATTTTTGTTTCTCTTTGAGCCCCAGGTTAATAATCTTTTCTTTATGTTGCCTATTTCTTCACCATAATTCTTGTGCTTAGGTAGTGCCTCGTTCCCCTTTCCACTACTACTGCACACAGACACTTCCTTTGTCACTAACTAACTGTGGTGTCTTTCTGTAAGCTTAGGAGAAAGGTAGAATAAATCTTCTATTTCCTTGACATAGGCTGCACTTTAATGAATTTCTCCTTGTCTCTGGCATCTGTGGGAGTAGTAAATGCACCAGAAAGAACAGAGACCTCAGGGAGCTTTCAAGGTAATTGCTTATGTTTTCTCTGGAGATGCCATCTTCTTTAGTGAATATCTCACCTTCCTTTTCACTAAAAAAAAAAAAAGAGGGGTTATTTCCTGTTGGCACTTAAAAAAAATAACTAATTATTTTTTCTAAAATTATTTAATGACAAGTATTTTTTAACATTTATTTATTTATTTATTAGATTTTATTTATTTCTTTGACAGACAGAGATGACAAGTAGGCAGAGAGGCAGGCAGAGAGAGGAGGAAGCAGGCTCCCTGATGAGCAGAGAGCCTGTTGCGGAGCTTGATCCCAAGACCCTGGATCATGACATGAGGTGAAGGCAGAGGCTTTAACCTACTGAGCCACCCAGATGCCCCTTTAATATTTATTTTTTAAAAATATTTTATTTAGGGGCGCCTGGGTGGCTCAGTGGGTTAAGCCGCTGCCTTCGGCTCAGGTCATGATCTCAGGGTCCTGGGATCGAGTCCCGCATCAGGCTCTCTGCTCAGTAGGGAGCCTGCTTCCCTTCCTCTCTCTCTGCCTGCCTCTCTGCCTACTTGTGATCTCTCTCTGTCAAAGAAATAAATAAAATCTTTAAAAAAAAATATTTTATTTATCCATTTGAGAGAGGGAGGGGAGCGGAGGGGGCAGAGGCAGAGGGAGAAGGAAACTTCCCACTGAGCAGGGATCACGCTGTGACGCAGGGCTTGATCCCAGGACCCCAGGATCATGACCTGAGCCCAGGGCAGACGCTTAATGACTGAGCTATCTAGGGTCCCCTATTTATTTGTTTTTAAAGGGGTTCAAACTCACAACCCTGAGATCAAGAGTTACGTGCTCTACTGACTGAGCCCGCCAGGTACCCCAGTATCTCATTCTTTTTGATAAGAAAAATATTTGTTTATTGTAGAGAAATGTAAAAATGCAGAAAAACACAAAAAGGAAAACAAATTACTCTATTTGCTATTACATGATAGCAAATGTTTTCATATTTTCTTAAGTAAGCTCTATGCCCACTGTGGGGCTTGAGCTCATGACCTTGAGATCAAGAATGGCATGACTTAACTGACCCAGCCAGGTCCCCCAGTATTTTCCTGTTTTAAAAAACAAAACTGGGTTATCCTGAACATGCTGTTTTGTAATTAACTTTTTTCACTTAATAGATCATGTATGTTTTTCATGTTGCTAAGTGTTTTTCCAGAATATTATTTTAATGGTTGATATTCCATTGTGGGGCCATGATTTAACTAGTTTGCCCTACTGTTGAACATTCAAAATTTTTTTTAAATTTTTTAAAGATTTTATTTATTTATTTGACAGAGAGACAGTGAGAGAGGGAACACAAGCAGGAGAAGTGGGAGAGGGAGAGGGAGAAGCAGGCCTCCCGTAGAGCAGGGAGCACGACACGGGGCTAGATCCCAGATCCCAGGACCCTGGGATCATGACCCAAACCAAAGGCAGAGGCGTAACGACTGAGCCACCCAGGCGCCCCTTTAAATTGTTTTCTAATTTAAAATGTTAGGCTGAGGGTGTTTCCACACTCTTGGTGATCAGTTATTTTACTTGTTTATTCAACATATCTGAAATACCTCATCCCTGCAGGGGTGCTTGGCTTTTGCCCAGAGGGGAGATTCCCAAGGCTGGGATGCTCAAAATTTAGGAGACCAGTTGTTGAGCCCCTAGGGGCTCCCCGCCCCAAGATTGCCAGTGGAAGATGTAGAATTGCAAATGAGGAAGGTAGAATCCACAACTTTCCTAGTCTCTTGCCCAGGTCCTCCCGGAGGCATACAGACACCCCAGGAAGCCCAAGTTAAGAGAGCAAACACACTTTAATATGATTCAAGTTCAAAGGGCTTCCTTGTCCCTCAAGTTTCTTAGGTTGCATTAAAATACCACCTTTTAAATCTGGGAGTCTGGATTGTTTTCCTATTGGCCCAGTTCTTGGTTCTCAATTATATTATCTCTCAAACACATATCCAAGGGGGTTGGATACTTCCAGTTTTCCCCTTAGCCTTGTGTATATTTGGAATATACAAGCAGGGTTTCCCATTCTTTTTTTTTTTTTTTTTTAGATTTTATTTATTTTTCAGAGAGAGAGCATGCACAAGCAGGCAGAGTGGCAGGCAGAGGCAGAGAGAGAAACAGTCCTATGTAGCACTCGATCCCAGGACCCTAGGATCATGACCTGAGCCGAAGGCAGTGGCTTAACCCACTGAGCCACTCGGGCGTCCCTCCCATTCCCTTTCTTAAACTAAGGTTTCCAAAGAGAGAAATAAAAGGTCTCAGATGGATGGATATATATCCTAGCATTTATTGCAAAATGAAGTTGAGTTCCCAATCTGGGAAAATAACAAAACAGAGTCATTTGACAGCTCTTTGGGGAAAAAATCCAGTCTTTGGGCAGGGTGGTGGAGGGACTTATCTAGATAAGTCTAGATCCGCAGGGATCATCTGCCCACTTACTATGACCATTCTTTTTCCATGGTTACGAACGCGGTTTCTGTCTGGGAAAATCCTCAGCTTATGTTGGGCCCTGGTTTCCCCAGAGTTTTGTGGGGAGATTTTTTTTTTTTTAAGTAAGTTCTGTGCCCAATGTGGGGCTTGAACTCACAACCCCAAGAACAAGAGTCACATGCTCTACCAACTGAGCCAGTCAGGCACCCCGAGAACTTTTAAAAAGTGCATACTCAGATGAAAAGCCCAATACCCTAAAAAACCTCCCACTAGGGATGTCTATGGTCTCTGCCCCACTTATCTGTGTGAATATGTAGCTGGTCTTTCTGCAGCTAGCTAGCATCAGGTTGCTCCTTCAGAAGTCCAGACAGAACTCATAGTTTTTTGCTTCCATTCCCTCTGAAACTTACAGTGACAAGTACTTTGAGGATCCCTCTGGATAAGATCCCCCCAAACCAAACTCCCCTCTAGCAAGCTGCAGAAGGACAGGTGCAAAGACCGGGAAATAACTTGCAGGAGGGAGGAGATGGGGTCTGCCCACAGTAGAAGGCGAGGCTCCAAACTCAACTCTGCCCAGAATGCGCTGGGCAGGTTATACCTGGGCCTCCATTTCCCTGGAATTGCAGGTCTGAAGGGCACTACAGATCAACCCTGTGATTTTCCAGTTGTTCTCGAATTCACTCTCTCTGAGAAAGCAACATGCCACCGAGTGAGGGAATCTGTGTGGGTGCTGTCAGGCGCTGGCCTTGCGTCCGGACCACGCGCGGCCTGGGGAGCTGGAGCAGTAGTACCTATTCACCACACGCCTGCACTGGTCACACCTGACTGTACAGCACCACTGGAATTTGCAGTTACAGCTGCTGATGGCCTCAGTTCTTCTCTCTTCCACCTGTAGACCGCACTCGGTACACAAGCGTCCACAGCTGCGCTGCTCCCACCGGGATGCGTTGCGGCCGTTCTGCAGACACTCCCGACCTTCTGTGCCAGAGACGCCCAGGCTGGAATTGCGGGTGCAGTAATCTGGCGACTCCTCTAGAAAGATCAGCTCTGCCTCTGCACTGGGAAGGAAGGCCTCAGCGGGTGCCCAGCGGCCCTCAGCGCTGTTGCCAGCCCTCAGCTGCCGCTTATCCATCTCAATTTTCAGGGCCTGGTCATACTTGGCCTTCAGGTAGTCCCCCATCTCCCGGAAGTCAGCCAGCTGCAGCCAGCAGGTCTGGATGCTGCAGCTCCCAGAGATGCCATGACATTTGCAAGTCCTTCTCATGATGGCTCGCACTGCCTTCAGAGAGAAAGAGAGAGAGGAGGACTCTGGGTAAGGAAGATGGAAGGCTAGCAATTAAATGGGATATTTTAGAGCTGTGCTGCTTAACTTTGGAGGAGCATCAGAATTCCCAGGGAGGCCTGTGAAAAACACTATTTCTGGGCCCCACTTCAGATCTTCTCAGTTGGAGTGTTCGGGGGGTGTAAAGGCGTTGGTTAGGGTAATTTTAAAGCGCCCTTGGGTATTCTTTGGGAAAATTGGGCAAATATTGAGGGAGTTACAGGATCAGGAAACCTAAGCTCTAGGCCCAACTCCATCACTTCTGTAGCTTGTTTCTCTCTCCCACTGGAATAAGAACGATCAAGAGTACTGTGGAAATTAAGAAAATATGATTTTTGGCACTATTATTGTCTTCAAGGTAGGGGCTGGTGAGGGTTTGGATTTGTCCTCTCCCAGAGGGAAGGGAGCTCATGCAGTCTGAACCCCTACCCCCAAAGCAATTACTCATGTGTGTAATTGCCTTGAAAACCTCTTCCCCTTGCTCTGGTCCAGGTCATCCAGATATAGGCTCAAAGGGAAATTTTTATGCTCTAAGCTTTAATTCTAACTTGCTTCCAGATTTGAGTTCAGAATACTCCAGAAGTCTTGGGGGAGAATAGACCCGCCAGAGAAGCCTTGATCAGTCCCAATCCCTTGAAGTCCAGACAGATCTTAGGATACAGGTTGGATGATAACCACCTCCCCATTAATTTCCTAGAATACACAACTGAAGTGGTTAAAGTTTTAAGTCATGAGAGCAAGGCTTTGGTGTACTGTATTGTTCTGGGTTCTCAGAAACTTGCCTGTGGAAGGGGCTAGACCACAATGATTAGTGATAAGATTAAAGTAGAAAATCTGAATTTATGGCCTGGTTCTGATGCTTTTTAGTTCTGTTGCCTTGGCCAAGCCACTTGGCTCAGCCTGAACTGCCTTTGTCATCCAGAGAAGGGGATAGCCATCCCAGTCCTGATAGGTGGTGTAAGGATGACACATGGGTATGAGACAGCTTTTGGTAAGCTATAAGTTGTAAGTGTTCACATGTGAGGTTCTTGCCAGTACTGACCCTGATAGTTCACTCACGGACTCCTATACCTACCAGTCTGCCTGCCCTGTTGTTGTGAAGATTCATCAAGGCTCTAGCGTCCTTTCCCTTTTCCAAGCTGTCCACAAAGAGTTTGGAGATCCTTTCCCCAAATTCCACATTGTCGCTGCAGCCTCCCCAGATCCAGCCATGACCTCCTGCACGTAAGGAAAGAATAAGTTCTACACATATTTCCCTGCTAAGTTTCAGGAGGAGTCAAGGTTACTTTGGCTAACATAGCTAAACCATCCCCCAAGAGCTCTAGAAGCCTCTAAAGCTGTAGGTGAGACCAGAAAGTAGAGGTGCTCAGAGTGGATGGGTGAGGTCCTTTTCACAAAGACAACTGCCCACCATTCAGATATTTTCCATCTCCAGGCAATTAGTCTCTACAGCCTCAGTAAATGTAGGCATACTGAGCCTGGCCTAGATGTTCTTAGAAGTTCATTGTAGCTCAAACATTCTGGAATTCTGCATCATTACCCTACAGTAGTCTTGTTAGAGCCATCTCCTCCCTCTTTGATGACAAATCTGAGTCTCCTAGATGGTCTACAAATAACTGAGTAGCTCTGGATTATGGATTATGGTTCTCAGCCTGAAATATGAGGATTAGCTTTAAGCTCTCTGGTCTTCTCATTCCTAGAGGTCTTGTTGGCTTTAGAGCTCAGTGTTACTTGGTGATCCTAGATTCATGGACCCAGTTCATCTCTTGGAAGTGTATAGGTCCAGGAGCTCCCACCAAGAAGTTGCTGCCAGCATCTAGGGCTTTGAGGGACCTATGTGTCCCTTAGCCTTTTCCTGGAAGATCTTAGCCTGCATGTAGCTCTGCCTCCCTCACTTCTTCCTACCCACATCAGAGAGTACAACTTACCCGTTTTTCCATTTTTCGACTCATCGCAGCCACAGTTTTCAAAATCGCCCATGCTACAGTTCTTGGTGATGGTGTACATGACTCCCGCAGAGCTGATGGCATGAATGAAAGAAGTCTCCCTGGTGGCTTTGGAGAGAAAGAGGGGACTGAAAACTTGGACCCTGATGACCCAAAGGAGAGGCTGTGGAAAAGTAATTGTTTCTCTCCCTTGGTCCCTGACCCTTTGGGTTTAAGAGGAGGCTCTTCTCCTTGAGAGAACAGTGTATGTCTTTCTAACATCCTTATGTCTTTCAGGCAGACATGACTATCCCCATGGGGATGGGGATGGTAAAATCCACACAGACAGTGATGGGACCAAGGGCACTCTCTTCACCATTTGTATTGGGACCAAGACCCTGCTCTCATGAAATCCTGCCTGGCCTTCTGTTCATTAGCCACTGCTTCTGTGCCCTTGGGCAATGGGGTCTCAGGGCCGTGGAGCTGGCTTAGGAAAGAGAGAAGGGCCTTTTCTTCCTTCTGACATGAATCAGGAACTATGTAATAATCATAATGATCGTGACTACCATTTACTGAACTTGTGTCTTACTAAAGTTTTTAAAAAACATCGTCTCATTTCATTTCCACACACTTCCCATTCTGTCTGCATACCCCATGGGAAGACGCTTCTTTTCATCCACATCTTCTTTACTCTCTTCCCCCTACCTCTTCTCAGGAAACTCTCTATTGTTTGTATATAAACGACCTTTATGTGTACTACTACATACAGTTATAAAGAGCTGCAAGGTGCACACACACACACACACACACACACACCACACACGACACAGCTCAGTGTGATCTTTCAGCTTCTCTGTTGTTGGGATTTTATGACAGCTGGGCAGTTGGGAAACTCCTTAGGGGCTGCAAACACAAAGCCCTTTACTTGTTTTTATTTCATGCAACTCAGTGCAAGGTAGGTGTATACAAACACACAAATACAGGCCTACATTTAAAAAATAGAGGAATAATTACATTTATATGGAAATAGTGTTGTTTTTCACCTCATTCGACTCTTACAGTACACCTGGTGTACTAAACATAGCTGGCCTTATTGACCCCATGACAAAACTGGGGTTGAGAGAGAATATAACTCACTCTCAGGGTTTCACAGTAAGGAAGTGGCAGATGAGCAAATCACTGATACCTTTTTCATTTCACTGCGCATAGAGATGTCATACATATAACACATACACATACTGTAAGCTCACCTCCATACACATAATACCCCTTTGTGCAGGTGTGCAAACTTACCACTTCTCAGCCTGTTGTGAGTGGAGAGTTGGAGAGCATTTTCTGGGCAGTTCCACCGTTCCCAAGCAAATTGGAACTTACACTCCTCAATGCCACTCTGGGCACCCAGGGCCACGCTGGTCGTGTAGGTCAGGTAGGCCTGGCAAAGGGAAAAGGGCTGTGAAGGTCAGCCCTGGCTCTGCTCAGTTCTTCTGGGGTTCGGGGGAATAGGCAGGACTCAAATGGATTAGCTTTCCAGGAAGGAACAATTATGGGTTCCTCTGGGTGGGGGACTTCTGGCCCTGTCTCTCCTCCCCTCTTTTCTTTCCCCAAAAGAGTTCCCTTAGGAACCTGGATGGGTAAAAACAGGAGCCAGAGACCATCCTACCTTGGGACCTGTTATCAGGAAATTGTTCACTGACCTATCAAAAAGAGAAAAAGTGAGGCAGTGGTGAATGGGGATGAGATAATGGGGGTTTCCTCAGTGGGGAGTGGGGAAGGTGGCACAGGGGAAGGACTTACCAGGCAGAGGCACTGAAGGTGGCATAGCATATGCCCACAGCTACCCTGAGCATAAACAGGTCTCCCATGGCCTTGATCACTCCCAGGGGACCAGGTCCAGCCCAGGGCCAACTCCAGAGAAGTGAGGAGAAGGCAGGATCCTTCTCAGTATTTATGTGGGGGAAATTCTGAATGGCCAAGGGGGAAAAATCAACAGCTCTTCTCATTTGTCCCTTACTGGCAGGGCTGCAGGAGGCCCTGATCCAATGGGGGACCAGGAAGGAAGGACTCAGCCCAAAGCCTCCAAGGAAAGCCCCGCCTCACCCCGCCCCACCAGCCCTTCTTCCCTCCCAGGCTGACAGAGGGGCTGAAGCCTTTCCCTACCTCTGAGGTTTCTTTCCTCTATAAATCAGACTTGTCTCTTCCAGCTCCATGGCTCATTTCTCAGAATCTTGTAGCCTGGAGCAGATGAGGTTCCCAACACTGAGGGTAGGTCAACAATTCCTCAGAGCTACAGTGTCCTCATCTGTCACTGAGACCTCACTCTCTGTACTGCCTTCTTCCCCAAGGTGTTAGTAATTATAGGGGAACCCTATTTGGGGCACTCGGCTACTCATTTTACCAAAATAAGTGAATACATCTTTCCCACCTTCTTCCTTTGTGACTGTAAAGTCATGAAATCATGGGACTGTGGGACAGAAACACTTCAGAGGTCCTCTCTGTAATAGGCCCTTCTACCATGTTCTAGCAAAGTAAGTTCTGGTAAATTTCCTTCATTCATAGTCAGTCTTCATTTCATATGTGAGAATCAACCTTTGGGCCACCCAGGGCTGTATTTGAAAAAGCTAATGCCTTTCTGATCCTGTTTTGTTGCCAGGACATCAGCTCCTTAGGCAGGAATCTTTATTTTTCATTTTTTTTTTTTTGTTATTACTATTATTTTTAAAGTAATCTCTGCACCCAGCTTGGGGCTCAAACTTGTGATCCCAAGATCAAGAGTCTCATGTTCTACCAACTGAGCCAGACAGGTACCCCAGGAATCTTGTTTTAGGTTCACTTAAGTGCTTGAAAAAGATGTCTGGATGAACAAACAAATGAATAAAAGAAATTGTGACCCCTAGTAGGGACCCGAGACACCATTCAGGTAAGTTTCTTGGGACTGCAGTGAAGGGGTAGAGATCTTCCTTGGTTGGTGGAGCTCTTTTCCTGGGCAGGGGAAGGCAGCCCAGAGAGACTCAGAGGAAAGTACAAACAGGGATTCACCATCCTGACTCATTAGTCTGTGACTATGGATGTCCAGATCACATCCCAGCTCCCCAGGGCCTGATTTGGGTGAGAAAGGAAGCTCAGACATGCCCCACTGAAGGAGTTCCAGGGACCAAGGAGTCCTCAGGCTTTTTTACTTATTAGAGCAGTGCACTCAAGCTTGGACCAGGATTGGTGTCGGTCTATAAGCTGTTAATTGTTACCTAAGTACCGAAGTGCAAGTGTTTAGAAATATTTATAACAACTTGATGTAGAAATTTCATTTATTTATTTTATTAATTTTAAAAATGCTATTTATTTATTTATTTATTTATTTATTTATTTATTTATTTAAGTGGGCTCCACACCCAGCATGGAGCTCAACACAGGACTTGAACTCACAATCCTGAGTTCAAGACCTGAGCCAAGATCAAGAGTTGGACATTTAATCAACTAAGCCACCCAGGCACCTTGATGTAGTAATTTTAGATATGCTGGATCTAATAATACGACATTGGACTGCTATTTTGTTTTTGTTGTTGTTGTTGCTTGTGTTTTTGTTTTTAAGATTTTATTTATTTATTTTTGTCAAAGAGAGCTCAAGTAGAGGGAGCAGCAGGCAGAGGGAGAGGCAGTGTCCTCAATGAGCAGGGAGCCTGATAGGGACTCGATGCCAGGCTCCTGGGGTCATGATCTGAGCCAAAGGCAGATGCTTAACAGACTGAGCCATCCAGGTGTTCCAGGGGGCTCCTACTTTGTGTATATTTTTTGTTTCATTTTTCTAAGAGGATTGGTGTGAATGTCACAAATGCAAAATGTCTTTAATGGACTACAGCTCTGCCTTTCCGCCCCCTGAGAAGCTGCCTTCCCTTGTTTGCTTATGGGCTTCTCTCGTTGGGGAAAAGAACTATCTGAGACTTGAGTCACTTAGGAAAAGCCCACTGAGTTTGTTTCCTATTTTCCCCAATCAAGAATCTAATGTTTAACTTTTCCTTCTTAAGACGGCAGGGTTGATTTCCATGCCACTTACTGTTTGGTCAGAACAGGGTTAGCATTAGCTCTGAGGTAGTCTCCCTGTGCCCCTTGAAAGAGTTTTAGGAATGACCCAACATTCACTTCCTGTGTATGAGCAACTGGGTCCTACTATCCTATGTCCCCCATTGCACCTGGCATTTAAGTTGGTACTCTACAAAAATATTCTTTTTTTCCCTAGGAAGAAGAGGGAAAGGTAGTAGGCTTTTTATGTGCAAACTTTGTATATGCTTCTGCTCAGATTCTACAAAGTTCTCATAATTTCTGTAAAAACAATTTAGGATGGGGTGCCTGGGTGACTTAGTCGGTTAAGCAGCTGTGTTCAGCTTAGGTCAGGGTCCTGGGATGGAGCCCTGCATTAGGCTCCCTGTTCAGCAGAGAGCCTGCTTCTCCCTTCTGCTGCTCCCCTTGCTTGTGCTCTCTTTCTCTGTGTCGGATAAGTAGGTAGAATCTTTTAAAAAGAATTTAGGGGGCGCCTGTGTGGCTCAGTGAGTTAAAGCCTCTGCCTTCAGCTCAGGTCATGATCACAGGGTCCTGGAATCGAGCCCTGCACTGGGCTCTCTTCCCAGTGGGGAGCCTGCTACTCCCTCGCTCTCTGCCTGCCTCTCTGCCTACTTGTGATCTCTCTCTGTCAAGTAAATAAATTAAAAAAAAAATCTAAAAAAAAAAAGAATTTAGGATGTTGAAGAATGGACTTTACTCCCGGGTATTAGGAGGTCTGGGCTTTGGCCACTAATTTGTTGTGTGACCTTGGGTAAGCTATTTACTACCGCATGGACTCAGTTTTTTCATCTGTAAAATGAAGGAATGGGGGCAATGTTGAACATTGAATGACCTCTAGAGACTTTCCCAGTATTCTACATGCTGTAAACCTACTTTCAGGGTTTATAGAATTTACTAATCCCTGAGGTAATTATAGACTGAAGTGGGTAAGTCTTGTTTTCACCAGCTGTTTGAATGGAATCTTTTTAATCTTTGAATCCTTTAGTTGCCTGTCAGGATAGACCTGGAAGATAGGTACCCAGAAGACCACCAGTGCTTTCTTCAGAGTGCTTTGGGGCTATGTCTACATAAGACCCCTGTGCTAGACTGATTAAAGTCCTTCATGTGGACAGAATTTCCCCTGAAAGGAGAGACGAACAGAGATAGGCAGTTCACGTTGGAGTCTACAAATCATTTGCAGTCATTGTGCCTTCATTTCCTTAATCCCAGCTCCATTATCTTATTAATTTTTTTTTTCAGAGAAGAGGGGAGGGACAAACACAGAGGGAGAATCCTAAGCAGGCTCCACGCCCAGTGAAGAGCTGGATATGAAGAGCTTGATCTCACAACCCTGAGATCATGACCTGAGTGGAAATCAAGAGTCAAATGCTTAACTGACTGAGCCACTCAGATGCTCTCCTCCTTTTTTAAAAAGGTGCCACCCCCAACATGGAGCTTGAACTCACAACTTTGAGATTAAGAGCTGTGTGCTCTACACACTAAGCTGGCCATGCACCCTTATCTCTTAAGTTATTAAGGGTGTGGTCCAACTCTTGGTTTTTCTTTTCCAGGGAGAGAAATCTGTATCTGAAGACCAGAGCAGACAATGACAGGGAGGTAAAGTGCACGTATCACAAGGCAATGCTGTCTCTGAACAGGGAGTGTGCTGGCAAATAGGTATTTAACAATAAGCTCTGGAGTGACAGGAGCCATGATTGGGAGTGTTTGCTGATTGCCATGGTATAAATAATCCCACCATGGCCTTTTTCAAACTACCAATGTAGACTTGGGAAGAAATGAACATTACCACATCATTATATACTATTCTACCATATGGATATAATAGATGTAAATAACTTACAGAGTATAGATAATAAAATGTGAGAAAACAATTAGGAAAGATGAATTTGAGTACTTGTTACCTTTGTTTTTAATATAATTTAATTGGTTATATAATTTAATTTTTAAAAAGATTTTATTTTTAAGTAATCTCTACCCCCAACATGCGGCTTCACTCATGATGCTAAGATCAAGAGTCACATGCTTTACCAAATGAGCCAGCCAGGAGACCCTATGTAATTTAATTTTTAGTAATGACTTGTTTAACAACTGGTGTGCAAGATTCCTGAAAACTTGCCTATCAGCTTTTTGAGCTGGGATGGACTGTCCCCCAGCATACGGTTGGAGCCCTGTGTCTTCCCTGCAGGCTCCTGGGAGATACAGTGCAAAAGATTTCTATGTGGAATTGAACCCTACTGTTCATCAATTCCAGTTATAGGCAAGGCTTTAACCCTTGCTGAGCCATAGTCTTGCTACCTGCCCTCAAGGGGCTTGGTATCTAGTAATTAGAGGCTAAGGTATATATTTAACTAACATAGGGCAGAAAGTAGAATACAATGAATAAATGCATGTACCTCTGGAAAGGTATTCATAGAGCTAGAAAGGAGGTAGGATCAGATAATCCTGGAGACCCCTTCTACATTTATTGTTCAGGGATGTTGAGGTTTCAAGAGTCCTAGGGGAAGCTGAAGACTATGATCAATGAGGAATAAACTGGAGTCACCCTTGTGCCCAGCTTCAGAAAATCTAGAGGCCATTCATGGGACCAAGAGTGTCTGAGCTAGAGGGTCCTGTTTTATAAGATACATGAGGCCCAGAGACAAGGGACATACTCAGGGTCACACATCAAGTTGAGGCCAAGAAAAATTGGATCCTGCCATCCAGGTTTGCTCTGGATTGAGGGATTTCCCATGAAGTAGGGCTTCCAGTGCTTGAACCAGGACAGTGCTGGGCAAAGCAGGTGGTTGGTCACCCTACAATGATGATGGTG